AAAGGCGAGCTGTCCACCCCGACGGACCGGGCCAATAAAAGTGTCGAAGGCTGCCTGACAAAGCGCCGGCCTGCTTTGTATTTATGATGAGCCATCCGTGCCAAAGTCCCTCGTCGTGCCAATCCCGTGCCTCCTGCGGGTCACCCAGCCCTCCCCTGACCCAGTCCCTTCCTCCGAACGGAAGCTAGCGTGCACTGCTCCTCGGAGCTGGCAGATGACACATCTAGCTAAACTTAGTCTCAACCTAGTCTGCAATACGGTTTAATAGGGTGATTTCTTTAAAATGTAACTTATAAAGGCTGCTGGCACTATCAAAAAAATGTGAAATACTTACCACTCAAAACGAATCTATAAACACAAGGGTCGATTCTGACTTATTTATTTATTTACATATTTAAGATTATAGTAAAGTTTACAAAACTAATACTAACATGTAGTGCTAGCTAAGAGAGATTGTGACTAATTCTCTTCTATATATTCTATGCGATGCGCATTAAGGCATTCATGCCATACCAATTGACATTTAAATAAAAAAAATAAGATTAATCGTTGACTTTAAAATGTATCAGCAATACGTACTTTGGCTTTAAAAAAGTTAATTTTAATCTAGGTGGCATAGATTTCAACCAAAAATGTTTTTTGCTATCCGCTGTTTTTAAAGGAACAACGAAATTTATAGCTGACAAGGTTTAATTAGTAATCGATTTTTTGGACTAAGTCTAACTGGCATATGAGTAATTTTAAGGAAACATTTTCTAGTGTTGGAATTCATTTGTTGCTCACCAAAGTCTCTAAAATTAAGTGTGGAAATAAGGTTACATTTTTTGGACCACCCTAATGCACTTACATATGTGCTTGGATAAGTTCATATATTCTGATTACATTTTATTGTACGTTTCAAACTAATTATAGATTACTTCTTGAAAAAGTAATATATTTTTAATGCACTGTTAATATCGGACTAGTTCCACCAAAATACACAGAACTTAGGTTGAATTTAAAATAAATTCAATTAAGCCCTTCAAATACAACATTCCAGTTTAGTTGATATTATGAGTATTGAAGTTCTACAATTTTTTAGAATACGAGTGATCGCCATTTCGTTTTATTCCTTCTAACCTCCAATCTTCATCGGCTCCTGGCATCACTGGCACACAGGGCATGTCCTGCAGTTAGAGTTCGTGCGGGTCACAGTGCACTATGGGGAAAATTACCACTTTATCTGGCATTTGCATGTTTTTTAAAAGTTTTCTAATTACGACAATTTTACTGTTAACGCATTAAGAAAACATCAGACTGTTATGCCCCAAACTCAAAATGTTAAATTTAACAGTCCCCTGTTAGAAAAACGGCTGTTAAGTCAGCTGTTGCAATCGAAAGCACGTGCGGCTAAGTTGTGTGAATTTGTACGCTGAGTTTGGATTTTAATATTTAATGATGGAACAACAACTAGAGGAAAACCAAAACATGAATGCTGATCTCGCAGGTTTGCACTGTGTGTTAAATGTACTAAATCGTTAAAATTGTGCGTGTGTATACTAATATTTTGCAGTTTTCTAAGAGCTTCCTTAGCTGAATTTTTAGAAACAAATTTCAACTTTGGAAAGGATTATCTAAGAGAGTTTAGAATTGTTTAAGTGTTTGTCCAAGTGATTGTTGTAGCGTTGTCAATTCTGAGTTTACAGGAATTGGTCCTAATGTCATATTTTTCCATATTTTGGCGGAATTTGCATTTTTATTAGGTAACCTCACTTTTTCCAACGTCGACTTGTTTGCAGTGTGGAATAGCGAGAGGGGCCGGCACGAGCGAGAGAAGGCCGTTCAAAGATATTTTGAACTGCATGCGTGCAATAATGTGGATGATAATATTTTAAAACATAAAAGTCACCAATTTTGCAACAATTTGTATTACAACTGGCTTAAATGTCATAGCTCTTATAAGAACTTCGAAACAAAACATTCCACATGGATGAAAGGCAACACAACTTTGCCTTTAAAAAAAAGTAACAGACCAGTTGGACGACCACTACTTCCATTTGAATCGAAAGGCGAAAGGGCTCAAAGACTGCAAGCAGCGGAACTTTCCAAATTCCAAGGGGACGATGTTTTTTTGCTAGTACATGCAGCAACCGCAGCTGCCCGGAAACAAGGACTACATGATCTTGCTGCAGTTCTTCAAATACTAGGAAGTACCCCGGAAAAAGCCAAGCAAGTCAGAGAAGGATTGACAAAGCCCGTTGATCAGCCTATAAGTGCGTCCAAAGACGAAGCGTTGGCATTAATTTTGGATCAAGGATTGACCAAGGAGCAGTACTGTTCTATCCGAGATGACATTCGTAAGAGAAATGTGGATATCTACCCAATTTATAAAAATGTGGCAGAGCAAAAGAAGCAATGCAGACCAGGCAAAATCAATGTATCAGAGACTGTAGCCAAGGTCTCTCTGCAAGACCTTTTGGAACACACAGCTTTTCGGATTGTGACACTTCAAAAAGATGTTATCCATGGTGTATTGGCCAATCAGCACACTGATTTTTTATCTGCTGAGCTCATCGTCAGCTACGGATTCGATGGAAGTACTGGACAGGCGAACTATAACCAGGCATACGCAGATAAAAGATCGTGTAACGGAGACTCATGCCTTTTTGCCACTACCATAATGCCTCTTCGACTCATAGACTCATCCGGAAATTTGTTGTGGAACAATCGCACCCCTCAGTCCATTAGGTTTTGTCGTCCACTAAAATTGGAGTTTCTCAAAGAAACAAAAGAAGTCATTTTAGAAGAGAGCAGGGACATACAATTGCAAATTGAAATGTTGAAGTCAACGATGTTTAAGGTATCTTTAAACGATACTCAATTTGTGTATGTAAGATTCAGTCCATATCTCACTGCCATTGATGGAAAAGTTCTGAATGCATTAACGGACACAAAATCATTTCAAGCATGCCCCATATGCCACTCGAGCCAAAGAGATTTCCTTGGAAATAAAAATTTCAAGTGCTTAAAATTTTTGCCAGTTTCAGACAATCTGAAATATGGAGTAAGCCCACTTCATTGCTGGATAAGAATTTTTGAGTTCGTCTTGCATGCTGGGTATAAGCTGGAGGTAAAGAAATGGCCAATTACTGATCCATGTGACAAGCAAGCGATGCTAAAACGAAAGGCAAGTATACAGGAAATGTTTTGGGCAAAACTGGCTTTGAAAGTCGATAAGCCGAAGCAGGGGGGTTTTGGAAATACAAATACCGGAAACACTGCACGTCGCGCGTTTGCCAACTTCAAAAAATTTTCCGAAATAACTGGAGTTGATCAACAAATAATCTACAATTTGAGGATCATTTTGATATGTTTGTCTTGTCAATTGCCAATAAACTTAGAAAAATTCGAGGCATACTGTCACCAAACTGGCGAAATGATTGTGGACAGTTATCCATGGCTCCCCATGACACCAACACTCCATAAAATTATTGTGCACTCAAGGCAAATCATGGAAAATACGGTGCTTCCAGTCGGCTGTTTTGGTGAAGAAGCGTCTGAGTCCCGCAACAAAATTTATAAATCGGATAGACTTCATCACTCCAGAAAGCACAGTCGATTTGAATCTTTAGGCGATGTGTTTAAACGAGCTTTGGATACATCAGATCCAGTGATTTCTTCCCTAAATTTATCGCGACGCATAAAAAAACATAAAAATCTTTCCCTTCCCATTGAGGTTATCCAGCTGCTCTCGTGTGAGCACGAATACATAAGTGATTTTTCAGAACAAGATGAGCTTGAAGACAACAGTCTATTTTTTCTTGAAAACTTCGAGCTGGAAAATGAAGAAAATGATGAAAATAAAGAAAATTAATTAAAAACTGGGTTTTCACAATTTTTAGGGCGGGAGGGGGCGTGGCGAAACTCCTATCTACAACGTAAGCACGTAGAGGTTACTAAATTTGAAAAGTTAATATCTAAAAATGCATGTAAAATATTATTTTTTCGATTTTTTGGGCAAAAGGGGCGTTGACACGCCCATTTTTCTAAAATAGGTTCTTATGGTCTATAACAACATAATAAAAAAAACCGCAGTGAAAAATCTCTTTTGGTTTACTCACAATAATAAATGCCAGATAAAGTGGTCATTTTCCCCATAGTGCAGTGGGATGCCTGCCATGCGAGTTGGGAGCAGTGGAGCTGCAGCCTCACCATTGATGGAATTCCAATAAATCCTCCTCTCAGCTGGCTCCTCTTTTCCTAGAGTCTGTGTGTTTTAACCGCTGCAGAAGCAGCAGCAGCTCTTAGTGCCATATTTTTGTTGGGCATTTGAATTTTGAGCTTTTGTGGGCTGGTGTCTCCCCGCCCGTCTCCATGGGAAATAAATTATGGCTTAATTTAATTTGAGGTGCCTGCCCGGTCACCGCCTGCAACTGTGGCAAAATCTGTCTGTGGTTGCTGGATTTATATGCATGCGAGTGCGGAGGCCCTAGATTAGTTGCCAATTCGGTTCGGTCCTTCGGTGATGCATGGCAAAAGCAGATTTCCTAAAAAAAACTGCTTCCTTTTGTCCATCGATGCACAGAAATCTAAAAGGAGGAGATTGGGTAACAGCATTTTGAGAACCACGGTTGGGAACAAGGTTCCTGATCTAAAACGAAACATTTAAAAATTGGACTTTTACTCTTTCGAAGCTCGTAGTCCACATGTATAAGGCAAGCATAATAATGTGGAATCGATAAATTCAATATTTGTTATTTGAATCTTTTTCAAGGCAGATGTTTACGAATATTAAACAAAAACACCCCTTAACGAGGTCCCAAATTTCGGGTTATTCGTTTCTATGCATTATGAGTGCACCATGAATAAATCAAAACAGCTTATAAGATGGTTATTTTTTACGCATTCTAAAATTTTAATTATTCTTTTTTTTTTATTCTAAACTTCAAATGTAATAAGAAAAATAATATAAAACACAAAGAAAGTAAAGTAAATTCACAATTTAATTTTTGTTTACTTTTCGCAAGATGGTACATAGCATACTAAGAGGATTGAAAATATTTTTGATGAAATACTAATCAGGTAATTATCTTTATGACTTTGTTGCCACTCTCGTCGATAGTGGTCCTGAGGGCAGTCGACAAGGCTCGTTTTCTGGCCACATCCACTTGGGCGTATTCCCCGACGATCTGCACCAAACGGGTCAGGGCGCTAGTTAGAGTACAGGAGTTGTGGTTCTCGATTACAGAAGACTCTAGAATATATCTCTTGAGTGCAGTGGCCAGCATCTAATAAGAAATTATAAATATATCAGATCAAATTTTATTGGAGCTATGTTCCTGTACCACTCACCTTCATGTAGTCGGAATCGATGCCATTTTGCAAATGCTTCGGAAGGTTTTCATCCAGGGCCATGCGGAAGGCTAGATTAGTATCCAGCGTTTGAACCAGCTTCGACATCAGCTTCATCATAGCCATGGCATGACCATGTAGCTTACTAAGGTTGATTTTTCCATCTCGCCTAAAGATGTTGATGAGGCTCTCGTGCTGCGTAAGGAATCTGTGAAACATATGGAAGGACTGAATGATACCGGACACAATATGTTGATCAATGACTGCTACCTATAGAAATTTTCCTTGCCAAATCGGCGCTGAAATGGCTCAATCAATCGCCAGGCATTGCGCAAGGCCGCCTTTTCCACCATTGTAAAGCCATTCTCATCAGGTCTGTAGCTTAAATCGCGGTCAGGCAGCGGCTTCGGATAAACTGGTAAGTCCACGTGACGTTGCTCATCCTCATCACTTCCTTCCGATTGAATTGCTTGGCTAACGTGGCTAATTTGGCTCATATTTCATAGCGATTTCTGTGAGCCCCTCTTGATTTATTTTCTTGGAACTATCGTTCTCTCAGACTGTATTTGGTTAGCATTACAATGCTTACTGTGATCTCAAAATTGCTTATTTGAATTTAAAAGTACATCCGTCCTCTATGGGCAACAACTTAACTTTTTTCAAAAAGAACGAAAAACTTTAAAGTTTTTGCAGCGCGATTTCTCTGGCTACTGTATTGTTGAAAAAGACTTGTCAAATGACAAAAAAAAATAAGACAAACAGAAAAATGTTCCGAAAAAATCATTTAAATTAGATATACGTTGTCATATCTTTTGAGAATACAACATATATTTATTGCAATATAACTTTTTTGACAGTCGCATACTGTAAGCCTAAGCAATTAATATATTTATTTTGTACTTCCTAATTTTTTTTATTAATTGGGGCTGTATAACAGTTTTCAAACTCAGCTAATGAAGTTGCATCCCTAGTTTTGGATGCATTTTTCACTGCTTTTTGTAGCAGGGCAATAATTAATGTGCCGCTTGTTTAAAAACACGCAAGCGTAGCAGAAAAGTAATCCGAAAATAAAGATATGAAAGCGAAAGTTGAAAGTTGAGCAGCGGCAGCAACAAACAAACAAGCAAACAACGCATCAACGCAAACAGCATGAAAAGCGCGTGGGGCGGAAAACTTTTTCGGGTGAAATTTTCTCATTAAGCGCAATGCAGTTTGCCACGCCCACTTCCTGCCTTTCGCCCTTCTGGCTAACCGGAAATGCATCAGTGTCAGTTTCGCTGGCTGCGCAATTTCGTTAAGAAGTGCGCAAAGTTGTTAAATTTTACGATTTAATTGCGAAACTATTAAAAATTACGTCGCCTTTCGCTGGGCGCGAGTTGCAGTTGCTGTCGTTGTTGGAGTTGCAGCTGCAGTTTCTGCTGCTGCTGGTGTTGATGTTGCTGCTGCGGCTGCCACGAGCAGCAATGCCGCAAAGTTTTAAGTATGAAAATGGAGCGCTTAATGGTGCCCCCATATTTACACAGAAAAAAGGAAATAATACTACACTTCATATAAAAAAAATAAATACATGTTTTTTTAATTTTCAAATCAATTAATTATGAGGATAATAAACTCTTGTTAATAAATTTTATAAGTCTCCCTGATTTTTGCTAGGTGAAATTTTAAAGGACCTTATGACACTTGCTTGATTTTTGACTAATTAAATGAATTTATTTTAAAACTAAAAGAAAGAGCTAAGCAACATTTTATAAATTTGTTTTTTAAATTAGCATTAAATTGCCGTTACCTGTTTAGTTTAATCCAGTGAGTAAAAAATTAATCAAGTGTAGAGTCATAGGAGAAATTGGAGTTCTTTCGAAAGACTTCTTTGGGAATCCTTTTTTCATTGAAAAAACCATATTGTGGTATTTATTCTGTCGACATTTTTCCCCGTGCACCCGAGCAGTGACAGACTTGGCCGCGTATCTACTTTGGCACATTGGCAAAATATGCTGCCTACCCGTGTATCCCAGCCACAGCACTCCTCGCCAATTTTTCCGCACTTTGTGACCCTCGTAAATATAATTTGAGCAAAGGAGTTTATTAAAGTTGCAATTGATAGGGGGAGAAGTTCTTGGAGGGCCCCTGCCAGCCACTCGCGTAATAAAATGACAAAATGAAATGGTTAAATTAATGTGCAGCGTAATCAACGTTCGCCTGCTAACGAGAACATGAGGAAAAAGTTGAAATCTCTGGCCCGGCAGTCAAGACAAATTAACTTAATTACTCCAAACTGACTGCGAGCCTGGCAAATGTTCCCCCTCCCCTCGCAGCTCGCGACTCAGCCACCCTCGCAAAGGTGAAAGTTTCATATGGCACTCAAGGAATGGGCGCTTGCCACCGGGGAAATGGGAATGAAATTATACAAATGATTTAAGCAGAATATTTCTGTAAATTTGTTGGATGTTCATACTAATTTTATTGCAAGCGTATTTGCACCCAAGTTGGCAGTACTCGAGAGCGAAAGTTTTGCCTTTGAAAGAGCCTTGATTCTTGGTTTACTTAGCAGAAATTCATTTGCATTTATTGAACATTTTAAAGGAGAGTAGTTTTGAAAAATATTTCTTATATCTTAAATTATTGAACCGAGAGTAGTTGAAAGGAAATGGAAGTTTTGGCATCAATCGTGCATAATAAAAACCATAACTTTAAAAATAAATGGGATTGTATAAACTCAGTTAAAGTCCTTTGTATGTCCAACACAATTTAAGATAATATTGCATTATTCCCCTTTCCTAGCAACACACACTCAAACACTCTGGTATTCGACCCTTAATTTGCTCGTACTCATGTTCATTTGAAATATTTCAATAGATTGCAATTGATATAAAAACCCCGTTTGCGGTTAAATTGTATGGCATGGTAGATAAACAATAATTACGCACATTTAAACACACGCAAATTAACTTGAACGCAACTCGTATGACCGCCTGTGTGTTCCGTTGTTGCTGGCAGGATGGTCGAATGTTTGGATGGCTGGATGGTTATATGGTTATATGGTCGGCTGCCCAGTCTGCCGGACTGCTGGTCTGTTCTGGTCATTACAGATTTATCGCAACATAATGTAGGTGTGCACGATTTATGCACAGTTTGCTGAGAGCGACAACAGTAACGATGCCAACAAATCACAGTCGGCAGTACAACAATAATGATGATATGGCACGGCCACCAAGAAGCGCAGTGGCAGCCAGCACAACAAACACAGCAGAGTGCCCCCAGCCATCAAAAGGCAACAATGGAAGTCCGGAGGCCCCTGCATGTGAGGGTGCTGATTGCCACCTATTCTGGTACACCAAGAGAAAAATGTTTTTCATGATCTTAAACTGCTTGGAACTAACAACAGAACGTAATTGAAATTATTGGTCGAAGTAAGCTAAAGTATTGCCCATAAGAACTTTTTACAACTTTTTATCTTTACCTCTTGTTTTAATAGTGATAATGATATCCCCCAATAATATAAATATATGATAATGATACTGCCATTTATTTTAATACTACCACTTTTAAAAAATATATGTACATACGTTCAAGTAAATCAAATTTAGTTTAAAACAAAAAACCATAGAGATAACATTTTTCCGAAACACGCTATATAATATATCATCATAAATCACAAATAATGCAGATTAGTCATTTAATTAATAATTATTATTATTATTTTAAGATTCGTGGTGCCTAAATATATTGTTTAAGTTTAAGTTAATTATCTAAGTGTAGTTTGTGCGAGGCTCCGGAGCTATCTGCTCGGAACTCCGTCGAAATCCTGCCTCCTGGCTGGAGAGCTTTATGGAACACATCGCCAGATATGTGTGTGTGAGGGGGTGCGTATGTGTTGGGGTCAGCCCGATGCGGAAACGGAAACGCCCCACAAATCGTGGCCTAATGATCAGGCTTTTATTTAATTAATTGTTGATAACAGCTTCATGCCCAGCGGAAATGCGTCACCGTTGGTTTGCCTCAGCCCCCGGTCGTTAACCCTTTGCAGGCCAACCCTCAACTGGTGGTTGCGGTGGCTCAATTTCGGCTCGATTCTCCTCAGCGCTAATTTAAATCCATGTGCGATACAACGTTCCAAATCGATCTCACAGCCATTAACGCTGAACATTTCTGAGATTTTTGTTTGCCCGATTTCTCGGCAATTTCACGCCACATGCGATTCAATATGCCCCGCCCCTCGTCTGCATTTGTAACCGTCGACATTCGCATGCCGCACAATGGGATAATTAAAATGCTGGGCTGTGGCATCGACAGAGATGCACGCTTAACCCCATGTGACGACCTGGAGACGCAGACGGAGGAGGCGGAGGAGCAGGAGGAGTGGTCGTGGTCGTGGTGTCCCAGTGTCATTACAATGCAATTATCAGTTACAATAAAAACGGCCACAACTCAAAAATTTAATTGAAGCCCACGCACGGGGGGCGTAATTGTTAACTTTCATTACGTAATATCCGTAACGGGCCCGGATCCGGAGTCGAACTCGGACCCGTTCAGTAGCCTTGGCCTCTTGGGGGATTATGGGGAAAAGTGGCGGCAAAAAGCTGAAAAATTGCAATGCTTTCATTACGCAACCCATTGCATATTTTTGTTGGGATTCCCGGTGCTCTTTATCTCCGCATCTTACCCTCCCACTGGCCGGGCAATTACGCCAGCACGCATATATCAATTAATTACTTTTATGATTCCATAAAACCGAATCGGACCCGCGCCCTGAACGCCCACTTGACCCAGCCGGCGTAATGACAGATGCAAATATTTGGCCGATCCATGGCAGGAGTTGCGGGTCGATAAATTGGCCAAAGTCGAAAGTCAGCCAGGTGCAAATGAAAACGATGCCGAGTCATATCATATTTAAAATATGGAACCAAATTCGGAACAGAAGGTTTTTATTCCACATTTAAGTTTCGGGAACTGAAATGACATTGATTGATCTGATATAGGCTAGGTATTCAATGTCAAACTGTCTTTAAAACAGGTTTATTAGTTTCCCATCAATTTGTAAACAATCAAGAAAACTACAAAAAATGCGCAGAGAATTATATTTAAAACTAAAATACTGATGGGAAAATCTGCATTATAAAATACTTGCTTAAATTCACAATTTAAATTTTTCCGAAAACTGTGTTTTGTTTATAGAAAGAAGTGCATGTATTTTCACTAATAAGAAAAATTCAATACATATAAAAAAAACCCCTAAAATATAATAACATAAATCCCACAACGAGCTTATCACAAGCACAAGCTAAGCAAAAATATGTAGGTATATTTTCGTAAAGTAAGGATGCGCGTTTAAGCTTAAAAAAAGATAAGGGAAACTTTACATGGGAAACAAGATTCCTCTAAAACTCCTTTTTCCCCCAAACCCATAAATTCTAATACCTCACCTACATTTCTAAAACATACTCCACGGAGAATCTCATTCGGGGGAAGATATGTATCCAGATATATAAGTTCGGTGCATGAATATTTATAATGCAGCGGGCGGGCTTTCACTTCAGACTCGGTCAAAGGAACTCTCATTTTAATGTATTCCCTCGCACGACTTTCATTTGTTTTCACTTTCGTTTCCATCATGGAAATGATCCAAACGGGCGGAAAATATCCTCCGCTCCACTC